CCTCCAACCTAGAAGCGATGGCCTCCAACCTAATAGCGATGGCCTCCAACCTAGAAGCGATGGCCTCCAACCGAATAGCGATGGCCTCCAACCTAATAGCGATGGCCTCCAAGCTAAGGGCGATGGTCTCTGGATCCAAAAAAGGCTCGTAGCGACACGGTCACACAAATATCTGAATTCGTGGAGTCACCCAATGGCACTTGACACTCCGACATACAAAACTCCACTATGACCTGTGGAGTACAAGGAAACACATGTTTGCTGGTCAAAAACCAGGAACTCTCAGCTTGAATGTCTTTGTGAATTGTTATGTCCTCTCTCAGAATCCAAACTGGTTGCAGGGTCAAATCCTGTGAACAAGAACGATCTGAGCAAGGCACATGCAAGGCGACACTCCGACATGCTAGGATGGATGCATATTGACCTCCTTCCAAAAGCAAAGTTGCTTAGACAGGCTCTATGCCAGGCCTGTGAACAAGGGCAACCATCTTATTAGGACCCCGAAGCAACTGTTCTGCAAATTCCCTTCAAGCTCCTCTCGCCATCTGAATTGTGCGAGTCAAGCGACTGAGATGATTAACAAGAAGACCAAGGAATTATAGTAGAGCGGCAGCCCAACGCCAATCACAAACCTTGGCTCAGGAAGATGGAGAGCCATCTCCCCCAAAGGAGGAACATATTTTGTATTGAATAGTTCACTCCCAGAATTCACGGCTTAACAACAAAGTGCCGTGTTCATCTACAAGACCACCCAAGTATGCTAAAGTACGCCCTTCTAAAACCAAGTGTTGCCCCCACGACGAGCGGCTTGGTATGCAAGTTCTCGCAGATCGAGAAGAGCGGTGCCCCCCGCGTGGACCTTGGGGTTCTTTCGCACCTCCGTGCAGCTGGGCTCAGGAAGATGAGTTTACATTCGGGAAGGCCACGACGTGCCTTTTGTGTGGCAAATGGAAGTAGTTGATACTGCTTGTCAGGTGAAGAGAAACATCTAAAGCCACCCTCCCAAACGAGGGATATTGTACAAGTACGATGGTGGAGCTACTTCTCAAGCTCCCTGTTGTTCAGCAGCTATTCTAGTCTTAGCTTAGCTGGCAAAGCTATGCGCATATGCGCAGTGCATCACTTCCAAGAGGTTGCTTCAGGAAATTCCAAGGTAGTATGCGTCCTCTTCTGCTCCTACGTTGCAAAGGAGTGGTGGGGCCCTAGAGAGGATCCACAAACATTTGTAGGTGGATCTGTATGTTTACAACCACTGGTTGCTGGAAGGGCCAACATATGGTTGGTAGGCAAGAAGTTAAATAGGCTTTGCATCTACAAACCAACAAAGTCTCTCACCAGCAAGTCGGCCCTAGTGCAAAGGGCGACGCATCAAATGAAAACCCGCTATGAGCCCTTGAGAGCTCCTGGCCTTACAAAGATGGTAGTGCATCCGCGCAAAGGTCAGCAAATGCCAGTGCTTGGCTAAAGCTCCACGGAATTGCCAGCAACAGCAACTGAGCATCAAGACCAGAACAATCCAAACCCAATAGCCTGGGGCATTGAAGGACGTTGCGGGACGCCAGCATTCTCAGTGACTTAAATAGAGCAGAACGACCTAAAAAATAAGGAAGGAGGTTGCACACCCGCTACTGCTGGACTGACGGGAGTATGTGTTCTCGTATTTTCCGGCAATGCAATATGTCCGAATGTGTCTTTTGTTAGTCGTGAGATGTCTGCATGTACTGGGGCTTTATATGTAAATTTCCCAGCCAAGTCGGACATTCCAGCATGCTCCCACAATTTTCACCCTTCCTCCAGCCAAATCCAAACCCTTGGAGAATGTTCAGTGAAAGAAAGATCACGATGTAACAACATTGAAAAACATCTCATCCAGCTTTCTGTTCGCGAAAACTGGACAAGCACCTGGGAAATCTAGATGTTGCAGAATTGGCCAACATTAGCTCCCAGACCACTCTGATTCTTCACCCACAGTGACTTCCAGATCTATCCGCTAAGTCGCTGACTCCGATGACACCACCTTTTGTTCGGACACACCAGGGAAACAAGCGTTTTCAGAACAACTCTCCACAGCTCAGCTTAAATCGGCAAAGGAGCCCATCGCATGGAGGTGCTCCACCAACCAAATCAGCGAACCCTCACGTGGACAAGAAGATGGGGCTGTTGCTAATCTGCACTTCCATGATATGGCTTCACTCAAAGACCTCCCTAGACCAGCTGAGTCCCAAGAGCCTTGCCTGAGAAGTGAGGACGAAGAGACAAAGTCACGTCTTTGCAAACAGAAGAGGTATTGCCAAAGTTCAAGGTAGTCTGCCGCATTTGACTACTATGCCACCTTGCGAACTCACATGCCACCTGCTTAGTGTTCTCACATCTCTCATCCCAATAGAGTGCTACATAATTAATCTGCTCACTGTGTCTATGCAAGGTCATGTTTGCAGATGTACCGGTTTGGCGGAGTAGGAATTGTCTACATAATGGATCTCCACATGTCTTGTAAAGAGTTTCTAGATGTGCTTCCCCGCACGGAGGTGGTATGCCATCCAGTTCTCCGTGTTTGTGCCACACTCAGCACCGCTCATTTCCTCCCACCTCTCGGTCATAGAGGCAACGGGTGCCACCCTGACGTCGTTCGTCGGCGCGGTTGGGTCGGCTCGACTGGAGATTCTCCTTACCTCACAAACTCCTAACAAGCGATGGCCTCCAACCTAGTAGCAAAAGGACCCTAATAGCTATAGCCTCCAACCTAATAGCAATCACCCAAAGTTGCTTCATACTCCACAGCCTGGTCCATGGCAAAGTGCTTCCGGCAGCGCTCGCATTGCCCTTGCTGTGCCTCCGATTCCCCGATGGGTCCAGCAGTCGACTATGGTCGTGTCCGGTGCAGAAAACGTGTTGCTCTGGTATCCACTGCAGAGTCCTGCACTTTCTATAGTCGTCATTCAAGAACCATCAGTGGTCCGCATACTGTACTTTTCTGATTGGTGATACACATATGTAACCACATGTATCATTATCACTCTCTAGTTGTTCCAGAAAACTCAACGACACCTGGACGGAAGCATTGATCTGAGTGCGTTGGACCCAACACTGATCACCCTGGAATGCGGAAATATCCACTGGAAGTTGACTATAAGCCCCATCAACCGACTTGATCCAGAGAGAGGTGATTTCAATAATTACCGAGATCTATCCAGATCTTGTTCCCCGCCTTTTACTCCGAAATCACTGTGAATCATATTTGTTGTATGAAAGACGTTATGTGCCCCCTTTCAATCATTTCTCAGCACCTAAACCAGTCCAATATTGAACTGCTGATTTGTGCTGCAAGATCTGTTCAACGAGCCATT